CATCCTCAGTGCCCCACCTCTAAGTGAGCCCCCAGGCCCTGTGCACATCTCAAGGCAGCGACACAGTTGCTGGCACCCACAGGCCAGGCACACAGTGGGCACCAAACAGGTGAGGTCTGGCCACAACATGCTGTGGCTGCCACTCCTGGCTCTGATGCTGAGGCCCCTCTTGGGTCTTAAATTCCATGAAGTCACAGGGTACCCAGACCATGGACCATGGAAGACCCAGGGTCAGCTCTTGGAGTCTGTGCCCAACAGTGTCCCCATGAACTCCTGCTCCCTTTGAGGTCACTGTCCACCCATGGCATCTGGTGAATGCAGATGCTGAAGTACCCACCACCTACCTGCACAAAGACACACGGGAAATACCACTCCTTCCACATGGCCCATGGCACCCACATGGGTGGATGCCTTGTCTTGGGACAGATTCAGTCCCTCCCACATCACCTATAAACAAGTATCTGCAGCTCTCTGCATTGACTGAGGCCATGGGAGAGTCCCAGGAATGTCTACAAGAATCTGCTCCTGCTCACTGAGCCTTGCAGACCCCACCACCACCGCATCTAAAGCTCTGACCCCTCCCAGGTGGCATCTGCAGTGCGTGAGAGTGTGGGGGTCCCAGGAGTCCTAGCCACTGGGAAGGCATCAAGCCACATCATGGGGCCACAGACTCTGAAAGTAAGGAGAGGGCAACCTATGGGCAAGGCTGTACCAAGGGCGTGGTCTGCCAGAGCCAGAGCCTGGGGCTCAGCCCTCAAAGGTGCCAGCGGGTCTCTATTCTCATGAGGCACCCCAGTTCCTTGCGAGGCTGCTTCCTTTCAGGAGACATGCTACACGTGCCAATGCTCTAAGAACTGCATGGGGGTGTGGCCAGGACTGTGAGCAGATAGATTTGAGAGGCGAGGTCTGTCTGAGCAGGACAACCAAGACCCTGCCCTCCACCTCCTGCAGATGGCAGAAAGCCTCCATACAGAACACAGCCACAGCCTCCTCAACTCACAACTAGACTAGTCTGTCATGAGTCTTAGTTAGGGTGACCAGATGTCCCGCTTTTTAACAATTTGTCCTGTGTCCTGTGGTGTTTAAAAAAAGTCCCCGATTTTTGGAACGAATGGACGAACGGGTGGGAGAATAGGAAGGGAATATTTTTGGCTGCCATGTGGCTATTTCACCAGAATATGAGTTTTATATTATTTTTGTTAATTTTATAATGTTAAACTGTAATAATTACAAATAATTGTTGGGAAGAGATTATCAAGAACTGCTTGTCAAAGTTTGCATTGTTGTCAGGCCCTGCCCTACCCCGTCCCCTGCCCCCCACCCCAACGTCATGTTGTCCCGCGTTACAAATGTTAAAAATCTGGTCACCCTAATCTTAGTTAAAACGCCACCTCTGGAGTTAGCTGGGACCGTCCTTTCTCAGGCTTCATGGAAACCTGTCTTTAATTCACAACAAAACTGCAATTGTTAACAGTAACTCTTGTCTTCTGAGCTACTTCCCACCAGCCACAGGAAGCATCTCAGAGAAGTTAAAGCTCTTTGGACAGCCTGGATGCTAGAGAGGGCTCTTTCCCAGGATGGAGCTGTGATGTGACCTGCTTCTCTTGGCTGATCACTACCCCTCTTAAAAACAGCCCCATAGGTGCTGCTGTGTCACCACCTGTCTCTCCTTATTCTCTGAACACATGTACTCCACTCAAGATCCTCTGTTCCACCATCACCAACAAACCCACGGTCCTGGCCCTTTGGTGACACTTAGTAATAAAGTTGGGTAGATCCCACCAAGTCCAAACTGCTGCACTTCTCAAAATTAACAGGGAGAACCATTCTAGATGGGGCAGCTGGGCCACCTCCCTGGGAAATGCTGACATTTGTAAGTTTTTCAGATGTAAATAAAGGCAGAAACAGCATAGCTCACTAACAATGGAGAAGCCAACTTCATTTGCTTTACTTTTAGATGGTGGGGGAAGAGTTAAAGGTTGTGGATGTGGACTTAATTTCCACAGGTTTTTTGCCACAATTCTTGTGGCAAAATGGTGCACATGGGTCACCTTGCATGGAAACATGGGCAGAACTGCAGAGAAGAGGGAGATGAATCCCCATGTTGGCCCCATCCCACAGTACCAGGGGGCTCAGTGTGTGGTCCAGGGCTGGCCTTCCTCAGGCCACACGGGAGGACAGGCCACAGACAGAGCTCTGGATGCCATAATAAAAGAAGGGCAGAGACAACAAACAGAAGGGGGCAAACCCCTGTGCTCCCACCTGAACACTCCCAGGGAAATCTCAGCACAAGCCACCCCAGGTAGTACATGCCATCTGGTGAGCAGGGGCAGCAATGGGGCAGTGAGGACACTGGGGCTGCCCATCTCAACTCCAGGCAGGTGGCTAGCCAGATGTGGTCAGACTAATAGCAAAATGAGGAAAGCAAGAAGCAGTGCCTTTGTCTGCAAGTGAAATGTATTCAAGGGACAGTCCTTCATTCTGAGATTTCATCCTTCATATATTAAAAAGAACCTTTCTTTCATGAAATGAGGGTAAAATTTAAAGGTAAAACCCAAGCCAAACCCTACGCGAGTCTTAAAAAAAAAAAAAAAAAAAAAAAGGCTGTAGGCTCAGTGCCTGGAGCTCAGTGGCTAGGGCAGATGTCCTCAAACTTTTTAAACAGGGGGCCAGTTCACTGTCCCTCAGACCACTGGAGGGCCAAACTGCGGGCCCCAGGACAAGTCGGTTGCTAAGCAGGACAGGAAGCAGCGGCAAAAACACCCAGCGGGCCGGATAAATGTCCTAGGTGGGCTGCATGTGGCCCGCAGGCTGTCGTTTGAGGATACCTGGGCTAGGGCACCAGCCACATACATCAGAGCTGGCGGGTTCAAACCCAGCCTGGGCCTGTCAAACAATGACAACTACAACCAAAAAATAGCTGGGCACTGTGGTGGCCATCTGTAGTCTCAGCTACTTGGGAGGCTAAGGCAAGAGAATCCCTTAAGTCCAAGAGTTGAAGGTTGCTGTGAGCTGTGACTTCACAGCACTCTACCAAGGGCAACATAGTGAGACTGTCTCAAAAAAAAAAAAAAAGTCCCAAAGTGTGGACACCTTGGCCTAAACAACAACTCTGCCCCATTGCAACCACTTCGTGATCACACTGGGTAGTGTTCATTGTTCAGGGTTCACTCTCTGCAGCCCAGGCTCCAGGAGATGTGCATTATGACAGGAATGCCTACATAAATGACATTCTGGACACATGAGAGCTCTCTCCCAGGGAGTTAAAGGACGGAGCCAAATGTGCCTACATTGACCATGCTTCCAGAGAAGGCCCCGGTCCAGACAGCCAAGGGACAAGGACTGGTCTAAGCCCTTGACCACAAACAAGGTGAATGCCTATCTCAGGTTTTTTACATCCTTGACTAATCACACATGTGAGTACCAAGCTATTGAGAGACACTAGCCTGGTCCTCAACACTGTCCTGGGCAAATGTAACCACATAACCATCAGCAAATAAGACCTGGGTGGCTCCCCTGGGGGCCATGTGTCCTGGTCCCCCATCCAGCATTATTATACCTTAGAACTGCAGACCCCAACCCCTGGTGCTTGTCCATGCCCTGTTAGGAACCAGGCCACACAGTAGGAGGTGAGTGGTAGGTGAGTAAAGCTGCCTCTGTATTCACAGCCACTTCCCATCACCTCCTGAGCTCTGCCTCCTGTCAGGACAGCAGCTGTGTCAGAGTTTCACAGGAGCACAGGCCCTACTGTAAACTGTGTGCGAGAAATCTGGGTTACGGCTCCTTAGGACAACCTAATGCCCAATGATCTGAGGTGGAACTGAGGCAGTGATGCCAGTGCTGGGGGCACAGCTGCAGACACAAGCGATCACTACAGGGAGGCTTGACTATACAGGGACCACCATGAAACAATTGCCAGCAGTCTCATACCACCTGCCTCCCTCCATCCCTGCAAAAATTGGCTCCCACGAAAACAGTCCCTGGTGCCAAAAATGTTGGGGACCACTACCTTAGAATGTATTTCCTGCCTTAACAAGCAGGGCACCAGAAAGTTGTCCCAAGAAGCACAAACTCTAACTTTATTACAGGTTAATTTCCAGGAATATCTGGGCCCCTTCCCAGGACAGGGATGCACAAAATGTTTACAAATACAGCCAAAACATTTTATTTATCAGCTGGCAGAAGAATGTCCTTCCAAAAAGGAAGGTGACTCTATGAGTGAGCACAGTTTGTTTGTGGAGGACTCTGGGGGTGTGGGAGGAAGCAGTGGGCAAGTGAGGGTCTTGAACATGTGATGTGGCTGTCCACACTGTTGCAGTGCATTCACATTAACACAGATGACCGTCTAATGCCAACTTCCTCCTGTGCTACAAACAGGTGCTAGTCTAATTTATCCAAGATCCTTCCAGGGCCCCTCTGCCCGTGTAGCTCTCTGCTCCTAGTGAAAGCGCCTTCCCAAGCCCGACCCCTGGGACCTCTGGCAGCACCGGCAAGTAGCACCTGCAATCTGGGTGGCTATGGCTGTGCCTCTGCCTTCCCCCTATAGGCCTGTGGCCAGCTCTCCAAAAGAAGGAAGGCACTGCTGGCCTCCACCTCCCGCCATCTTTGCTGTGCAAGTGACCTGGCCCCAGGCCCCCAGCCTCTGCTCCCAGGTCCTCCAACCTTCCCAGGCCCCCAGCCCTACAGCTTCTGCCCCCAGCTCCTCCAGCCTAGACCCCCTCCCGCCCCATTCCCAGCTCCTGCAGCCTAAAATGCAGAGCCCCCACCCCCAGACAAGGGCCACGGAACCCCTACACCTCCTCCACTACTGGACGCCAATAAAGCTCCACTCCACAGGCCCCCCAGCCCGGACATCGCTGGAGGCTGCGGAGGGACAGGTTCTCTTGGCCCGTGGAACATCACTCTGGCCAGGCCATCTCAGCTCACACTTTCTCTGTCCTTATCCGGGCAAGAGCAACTCCGATCTCGCATCTCCTGCTGCCGTCCCCGCCGCCGCCTACCTGCTTGTCCCGCGCGCGGTGCTCCACGCCGCTTCCAGGGCGCCGCTCCGCTTCCTCCGCGCCTTTGCGGCCGCTCGCGTACGCGAACACCACGGAGCTGTCCCCTGCGGCCCGGCGAGCGGACGCGCGGGAACCGACCCCGAGGAAGGAAGGAGACCCGCGTCAGCCCCGCTGCCGCTGCGCGGTATCCAGCCGCCCGGGGCCCACCTTCTGCCCTGGGAGCCGCGGAGGGCGTGGTGGGCTCGGTCCCGCACACTCCCTCACCCCGGCGGCCTTGCCCCCTCCCGAGGGCTCCACCGCAGGACGCGCGTTGGGCTTGGGTCCCGGAGGGTCCTCACCCCTGCCAAGCCCGCCCGCTCACCTTCTGGACTCTCTCTCTGCTTGCAGGCTGCGGCCGCGGCCGGAGGACGCCCGGGCAGTGGGAGGGACAGTGACTGGCCCGCGCCCGCGCCCCGCCCACCCGCCTGGCCGGCCCGCACCTCACAGTGCTTGGACTGGAATTTCCCCATCCCGCCGCCGCCAGCCGCAGTCCTGGTCCCGACCCGCCGGGCCACTCCGGGCACCGCTCTCAGGTGCCGATCTGCGGTCCGGAGTTAGGGCCAGGCATCCGCGAGGAATGCGTGGACCGCGGCGCCGCAGCCTCTGCGCCTGCCTGGGGTCGGGGCGCCGGGGCTAAGGGCTCGGGCCTCGGGCGGGGGCGCGGTCTCACTCAGCCCCCGCGTGGCTACAGCGGCGACAGCAGTGGGGGCCGGGATCCTTCTGAGCGCGCGCGCCCGCGCCTGGACTTTAACCGTGGCCCCCATAGCGCCCCCCGCGGCCGCGGCCCGCAGAGCACCGAAACCCTCGTCCCCGCCCCCGCCCCCGCCAGAGCCCTCTCCGGCCATCCTGGCGCGGACAGACCTGATTGGGGGGACTGTGCGCGCGCGACCTAGGCCACTATAAGGGCGGCCTGGGGCTCCATATGGACCTTGCAGGGGACAACTCCAGCCCCTTACCAGGCCTTTTGGGTCAAGGGATCCCCAATTCGAGGAGAGGATTAGGAGACAGGGACCCGAGAGGCTGTGGATGCAGGTGGGTAGGAACACTAGGTTGCTCCCCAAGGCCAGCTACAGCTCCTGGCCCAGCTGGGTGAAGGTCCAGTGTTGGACCACCAGGTTGGACCAGTCCTGTGCTCTCTGTCATGAGTTTGTCCAGGGCCTGTGCCCGACCTGGTTGGGGACCCCAGGAGCCCCCCAGGCCTGGCTGCCTGCTCTTGGCCTCCTCCACACCCAGCTCAGTGGTCCTCACCCACTCTTTGTGTGCCTCCATCTCCCGGCACCAGCCTCTGCACCCTCTCTGTTTTCCTCCTTTGCCACCCCTGCTGGCCACTCTGCCCCTTTTCTCACCACCCCCTTGGATCCCCTCACCCCATGCTCCTCTACCTGGGAAACACCTGCTGGGTCCGTGCTGTCTCCACAGCACTTCAGCAGCAAATTCAGCATTTTCTCCATAAGCTGTTGTCCCCCACGCTTTCAACCTCAGTGGTGCTGGTTCTTAGCCCTGGTGGAGGGGCTGCTGGGCAACAATGAAGGATCACACACCTGTCCAGCTCTGGCCCCACTAGGCCTCCTCTGGCTGGCACAGTCCCCAGCCCTCTCCATTCCCACTGGCCTCACTAGAGCAGGGTCTGCCCACTTACCAATGCAGCCACTTGGGCCCTGTCCCTGCCTCCTACCCTGTAAGGACACCCCTTATCAGATGGCATGCTTGGGCTAGGTGTTGCCGTCATCCTGTGAGGCAGAGGCCAGGACACTGAATGGCCCCCCAGGCACACAGCTGGTCAACACTCAACTGAAGGCCTAACCAGAGTTGGTCACCGACCCTGGCAGATGCCTTAAACCTAGACATCTGCTAGGGCCCACGGACTCAGGCCTGAGAATATTTCATCTTCTGAGGGGCCCTGGCCATGGGGCCACTTCTTGCAAGCAGACATATCTGCACCTCAGAATAAGATCTCCCACCAGGCTGCAATCACAGGCTGCTTCTGCCCATGGGAAGTGCCCCTCTGAGGGGCATCTAGCCCCAGAGCCTGGTCCACCCTGTCAGGCCCTCCCAGGCCCTCTTCTCTTCCTCTACCACCTCCACACCCAGGTGCAGTGGCCACTGCCTGCTCCCCTGGTGAGCTGTATGGCCTGGGGAGGGGCAGGCCCAGAGCCCCAGGCAGCAGCGTGCCTGGCACTGTGGGCCCAGACCTCAGTCTAAGTGGGTGCAGCTGGGCACCCTCCATGGAGGGCCCCTGTCCTCCCCATGTGTCTCCTCCCCAGCAGGGAGGGGTGGGTCTGGGGTCCTGTGGTCTTGGGAAGCAGAGTAGGCCTGCCTGCTTTTATAGTCATGAAATCCTAGGAAATGAAGCACATGTGTATTCTTTAACTTGGAATAATGCACCTGAGCTTTTACAGGCGTCACCTAAAATGGGCCTCGCAACAGAGGCTGAACTGTCTTAAGAGCTCGAGTGAGTCCTGTTTTGTGGTTGTTCTGACCGTTATTGTCATGACCCTTCTCCCTTCCTCTTAAGAAGCAACCAGGAAGGGTGGGTGGTGTGGTGGGCACCATGGGAACCAGGGGCTCCAGCACTGTGACCACAGGCTGAAAACACTGTATACAGAGCAGCAGACCCAGGGGGTACCTCCCCATTGGCTGTGGCCTCCTCTGTGGCCCTGCTGTGTATGGAGCTGCTCTGTGTGTGTGTGTGTGTGTGTGTGTGTGTGTGTGTTTGCCAGGCAGGGGGCTCCCATGTGTGTGTTTGCACATTGGAGGGAGACCCAGGCAGAAAGTCACCAGCTCAGCCTCTGAGATCGCTATCCTTGCCATCCCCTTAGACCTCATTTCAGCCTCCACTTACCTTGGATTTTGGCCGATGGAAATTTATAGAAGGTATGGTAGTGTCCTGTAATAATACAGCTCCTGCCCCTGGCATGGATGGGCCTCTTTTGAAAAGACTTGGTGTCTTCACGTGGAGTGCTGGTGGAGGTAAGCAGAGAGCTTCCCCCTTGCCGTGCTTTGCCCACATAGTGCGAGAAAAGCTGCCTCGAGCCCAGGACAAGTTACAGAGTCAAAGGTCCTCTGAGCCTAGGGACATGCACAGATAGGAACAGCCTGATTTGGGATAGACAGACCCCACTGGGCAGCTTCTCATTTCCCTACCCCAGGGTGGTGACTCTGGATGTGGATGGTATTTTCTCTCCTGGGTGTTCTTAATTTTACAAATGGATCTCAGGTTGCGAAGTGCCTAAGAGGACTTCAGAATCACAGGTCCCTGGTCCTCAGGCCTGGGAGTGCATGCTCGTGAAATATTAGCTGCCGACTCTCCTCACGCACCTGGCTTCCCTTAGGACCGACATACTTTGGCATTTTATAGATTTCCTTCTAGGGCATGGACAGAAAGTTCAAAATGGGCTCACAAAACATGTAGATCTCTTATTTCACTGCTCCTCCCTACTGCAACCACATGAAAGCATGGTCTGAATTACAAACGCATCACTACGTCATTCTGGGTACCCAACTGTTAACACCACTGCAAGGCCAGCGGGTGTGGAGCCTTGATAGCTGCTTCCTAGCATGCCTGGAGGCTGCAGGATAATTCCATGTTTACCCCCACATGTGATTCCGACCAAATCCACAAGGTGAGTCACCTGCACAGGACAATTACTTTTAATAACCATGTACTGCCCAAGGAAACTGTCTTAGAGGGGCCCATGCTGGCCTCACCTTGTGGTTGGGAGGGAGATGACGCTTTCGATTTCAAGTAAAAATATTTTCTGAAATCTCTCATGCAAATTTTGTGTTTAGAGACCCAGGAGGGAAGAACCTTCCCAGTTCACAAAGTAGTTTTCCAAAGGTGTTCTCAGCATAATTTCTAATGATTTACTTTACATACAAGTTGTGCCGGTTTTTTTGTTTTGTTTTGTTTTGTTTTGTTTTGCAATTTTTGGCCAGGCTGGGTTTGAATCTGCCACCTCCAGCATATGGGACTGGTACCCTACTCCTTTGAGCCACAGGCACCACCCGGTTTTGCTGGTTTTTATCATGATCAAAACAAGTGAGGTGGGTAGAAGGGCTTGCACAGCCTGTAGTGGGGGCCAGCAGAAGGCAGGACATGTGGGCAGTGGAGGAGTCTGAGGTCATCTCACCTTGGATCCACAGCACACACACACACACGCACACATATGCTTGCACAGGCACACGTGAACTTCCCAGTGGCACCATCTTCGAAGCCAAGCAGATGGCAGCCAGCAGGACAAGCTGCCTTCCTAGAATGCTGTTTACTTCCTTTTCTAAAATACAGGTAGTCCCTGAGTTATAAACATCTGCTTGGCAGCTACAGACTCACTTTCTAGGAGCAGGGGAGCCAGAAAGAGGTGAGCCTAAGGTCCAAATCTCCGTCTGCTCCCATCCTGCTGAAGCAGCTGAGAACACAGCAGGCATTTGGGATTTGGTGGGTTTTCTGGGGACCCTGGATCAGCAAGAGGAAAAAGGGTGGTCCCACATTCCAGAGTGGGGGACAGTGCCAGTGAGCGGGCTACAGGGGCCACGGACCTTGTGTGGGACTGTCCTGTCTGACACCATACAGCGGACACCTCCCTCAGAGTGTGAGGGCATCACCACAGCCCTTGGGTGGGCGGTGGTCACCTCCCTGAGAGTGTGAGGGGATCACACAGTCCTCAGGTGGATGGCAGTCACCTCCCTCAGAGTGTGTGGGGGTCACTGTAGTCCTCAGGTGGATAGTGGTCACCTCCCTCGGCATGTGAGGGGGTCACCCCAAGGTTCCTTTCTTTTGGTGCACACTGAGACTCTTCCCAACCTGGACAGTGAGGTCCAGCACTCCTGGGACTCCTCCCAGCCACCATGAGAGGTGTCCACTGTCCTCTGGCATAGCCTGCCTGGCCTTGGATTCTGAGACTAGGCCTTCCCAGGGCCAAGGCTGGCCTGGGGGTTTGCAGTACCCAAGCCAGACTCTGGAAGGACAGGCTCCTGTTTCAAAGAGCTTCCTTCTTGGCACTTTATTGGGGCTTTTTTTTTGTCAGCAGTGGACGTGGTACCAGCACTGTGTCCAGGGGCAGAGGGCGTGGGTGCAGCAGAGCATGGACCCCCACTCCAGGGACAGCGTGGACAGTGTGGGCTTCCTGCTCTGCCTAAATGAACCCCTCCCATCATCTCTCAGGGTTCCAGTTAACACAAGAAAGATCCTTTTTCACTGGGCTCAAGGTGTCTGGAGAAGGAAGGGTCTGGCCCTGGCCCATTCTGCAGTGAGCCTGTCTTTGTCTCTGAGACAGCTGCTAGAAGATCCTATAAAAACCACTGCCGGACTGTTAAGATGAGTTTGTGACCAGTGGAAGAAAACATTCCACACTGGGTCACTGGTGTCAAATTCCACTGTGCTTGTTTTAGAAAGCTCAGTTTGTCCCTGGAAGTCTCGAAGTATAAACAGCAAACACCTTGCAAAGCTGCATGGCAAAGGGCAGATACAGGGAAGGGAGAGGAATGCAATTCCCAGTCCCACCCAGGGCAATGAATGGGATTTCCAGAGATGCCAGATGGTGGGCGCAGGTGAGGAGCCCTGCCCAGCAGGAGGTGAGGGACAGGGAGGCTGAGAAGGAGCCAGGAAGCTGGCTTCCTCCAGCTGGGCCTTGGGAGGTTCCGGGTACCCCTTTTCCTGGGGACAGCAGCAGCTTGTCACCTCCGGTGCCCATTTCCCCTCTCCTTCCAGCACTGGCAGTCTGTACATAAGACTGGCCTGCAGAGGTTCCTGCCAGGGTAAGCTCAGGCCAATGGGTCACGATTGTCCCAGTTCACAGCACATCCCACTGGTGTCCCTCCTCTGGGATGATCCTGAGAGAGGCATCAA